AGTGGGCCCAGAGCCCAGCAGACGCCTGCAGCAAGGACTTGGAAGACCACAGCCACCAACACCATGCCTCTTGCATGGTGCCTGCCTATCTGTCTCACGTGGCAAGCTGGCCCAGGCAGCCACGGACACAAACGACTCATCCCACAGAGCCAGTGTGGCTTCCATGGCACCTGCCTGCAGCTGCAGTGGTATCGCCTCTGCATCACTGCCCATCCAGCCACTGCCCATGCGCATCAGGCCAGGTTATCATGGAGCTGTAATCGGCTGGGAAGGGCCCTGCCCCAGCAGCCTGGCCCAGCTGTCACCTACCTTGCCCGGGACTAAACTGAGCCAGCTGTGGGCGCTGCTGAGGGTGGGCACAGAGGGGTCAGCCTGGGCCAGGCTGGGCCACATGGGCAGGGCCCTTCCCAGCTGACTGTGTCTCCATGTTAGCCTGGCTTGGCCTAGGCATGGGAAGCCAGGAGCAACCTGAGCGCACAGCTCCTGTGGCCCCAGCCCAAGCCGCAACTGGCTGGGAAGGGCCCTGCCCCCATGGCCCAAAAGGAAAATGGGGTTCTGCCCCATATAATCTCTTGACCCATGAGCCACACTGTGAGGAATGAGTACAGGAGTGGCATGGACTGTGATATTTTTAATTACCTACATGCAATGCATGCTCCCAGACATATAGCACTTATTAGGTGTGTGTGAAGCGGGCCATATTCGATTTGGATTTGGATTCAGCCCAATTTGGGGGACAGTGATTCGATTTGCTGATTCGGACCACTGTCCTGATTCGATTCGGACAAATCCGAACCTGAAGATTCAATTCTGATCCGGAGAATCAGCGATTCGGCCATAGACGCAGCTTTATATGTTTTTTCTACATACCTCAAGGTACCAGGCATGGCTTGTGAATGCTGAGACGGTGGGGCAGATGAAGTGTCCCACAGGAGCGCGGGGGTGGGGCCCGCGTGCTCGGTGGCAGACCCGAAAGTGGACCGAATGTACTTCTGGTTCACTTCCAGGTCCACTACCAAGCACGCGGGGGACCCCACCATGCTCCCATGAGATGCTCCATCCGCCCCACCATCTCAGTGTTCATGAGCCACGCCTGGTATCTCAAAGTATGTAGAAAAAAACATATAAAGCTGTGTTTATAGCCAAATCATCGAATCTCTCCAAAACAAATCAGAGGCTTCTGATTCGATTCGGAGAGATTAATGGGTCTCCTGATTCAATTCGGATTCAGAGATTTGGCCACCGAATTGGGCCAAATCTCCTCCAAATCGGATCAGCAACCAAAGCTTCTCACAGGCCTAGTAATTATTAATTGAATTTTGTGGAGATGCAAAGTTTCTCATATCCACAATATATCCAAATCCAAATGATATATTTTTTTTACAAGAAGGATGATGGTGCTAGAAATATGCAGGTTAAATTATAAGGGAAATGTGATAGAAGCTCAGCTGGCTGAGAAGGGCTCTGCCCCCATGGCCCAGAAGGAAAATGGGGTCCTGCATGCCTACTGCTGCTGCTCAGCAGGGGCAGGTGAGTCTGAAGCAAGTGCAGGGCAGGCCAGGGTTGGGGCTGTTCACACGGGTTCCAGCTGGTCTTCTCTGGCCAGGGCAAGTCTGGAGCAGGCACAGGGTAGGCTGGGGTTGGAGCTGGGGCTGTGTGCTGTTGGTGGTAGCCTGGAGGAGCCACAGGGTGCATGGGCTCCAGGCTGTTGGGTGGGTGGTGCTGACTATTGTTTAACTCTATAATTAAAATTGTGATTAATTACAACTATTTTTTTTTAATCTCGCAATTAATTCCGATTAATTTCTTTAATCGTTTGTCAACCCTAGTTTAAACCAGTTTCTGATCACTTAAACTGGTTTGTGTGTAACTTCTGTCCCTAGCCCCATTAACTACAACAGGGGGATAATTTCAAAGCCTATTCTTCCTAGCCCATTGATGCAATAGTGATATATTTAACAAGGCAAATTCAGTCACCAAGAGCAGCAGAAGAACCCACCAGCCATAGTCAGAGACTAGATCCTGCCTATTCTAAGTGGGGCAAAAAAAAAAGAGCTTAGGGTCTTAACAACAGAGAGACAGAGCTTACCACTAAACAGCTTGCTTTCAGAAAGGTTCTCATTTATTTTCTCATTGATACAGCTTAACATACAGCCTAGCTGAACCAGTGAGACTGTTTTCTGGGCACATATTCAAACAATTGGTTTTCAGAAGCTCTGTAAATGTGTTGTTATTTCAAGAGGCAAGGATTTTCAGTGGCATCATTGAATACTCAGGCTTACCTCTGGTATGCAGTCATTGTGGGTCACCACTCTCACTATATCATCCAGTGGCAAGAGTGAATTACACTTGATCTCTGTATATACATTCTTCCCTTCTGTACATGCTGCTAGCAACTCCACCAGTGTGATGTGGTAAGCCAAAGGTCCACTCTCATCTGCTCGGTCTTGCTCTGAGCACATCATTTGAAGGAGAACTGGAAATGATGCTCTATCATTGTAAAATATCAACACATCTTCACCTCCATTTATCAGCTGAAATGATAATACAGAAGTTTCCCCAGCTGTTCAAGTGTTCCACACCGGATACAAATGATTTGTTCTCTCTTGCAATATACAAAATTACTCTCTGGCAATACAGACAGCCTTAGAAAAATAGAATTTGACTAATGGAATGCACACGTAAAGTAGAGATTTAGGGCCAAATTCTGATCTTAGTTGCATTGATGCAAAACTGGAATAACTCCACCAAAGTCAGCTGATGCAGAAGGATTTCAACAAACTCAGTCCAGATGTCTGTCAATCTGTCTGTTAAATATGGATACAGGCCTCAGCACTTCTATTATTTAAGCACCTACTAAACAATACCTAGTCTAATCTCTCAATACACGTGAGATAAGGGCACGTTGTTATCAATGGTTTACAGAAAAGGAACTGAGGCACAAATTAAATTTTATGTCAGAACTCACACAGGAAATCTATGGATGTAAACCAGGAACAAGAATTTAAACCAGGACTTCTGAGTCTTCATACACTGCCTGAGAGACAGACTATCCTTCCCTTACCTCCAAAACACAGATTGAAATTAAGTGTCCAAGCATTGTTATTGCAATGGCAGTGATTCCTTTTAAATGGAAGAGCATGTTGCAGCAATAAATAGCTGATGGTGGAGCAATACAAAGAAATATTTCATCCTTGGGCTCAGATGTACCATTTGGATACATCCCAGAGTTAGAAATAGCATGGTGCAGCAAAGAGAAGTATACTGGATCACAGATGTATACTTCTCCGAAGGCCAGGGTAGAGTGCCCAGCACCCTGCATTCTCTCTGTCCCCTTTGGGTATAGTGTTGGGTATAGGAGAGTTGGAAAGGAACAGCCCCCAGGCAGCTCTGGTAGTACTGAATAACTTGCTTGGCAGTGTTTGTAGGGATGGGCCCATATCTGTTGTGAGCAAATGTTCAGGAGGGCATGGATAAAATCATGATCTCACTAAATCCAATGGCAGAGACTGCCTGACAGAGAAGCTTAAACTTTCACTTGTCATTGTTTGGTGTCATAGAGAGGATGAAAGCTATGCAAATGCAGAAAACTTCTGAAAAACACCCATTTTCCCAGATTTTTCCAATACGGAAAAATTACAAATGCTGACATTCTGACTGCTTTGCTTTTTGGGGGGTTTTTCCCCCATTTCTCTCTTTTTTTTTCTTTTTATAAATAGATGCAATAGAGTGAATGGTATCTAGGATTCCTGCCCTGCCCCCCGCCCATGGGTTAACTTTCCTTTTATACGTTTTCCTCTTTTTATTCCACTTTTCAAAACTTCTTCAATTTCTGGAATATTTGCAGCAAAAAAAGAAGAAATTATGAAAAAGTATAAGAAGGGGAAGTAACATCAATCTTATTTTATTGCACTCCACAGCACAAAGGAAAGACAAAAGGGGAAACAATTATTTGAAATCTGAAATTCTGAATATTCAAATTGCTAAAAATATTTCTTTTTCTTTTCTTTTAAATGTTTCGTGTAAAACCTTGGGAGATGGAACCAAGTTTTAAAATTTTCCATGAACCTGTTTTTCTATAGTTCAGCCTTGTCTAGTACCTAGTCCTTACATAGGTAATACAAAAGGAAGGAAGAATACTCTTTTCATACAATCCAAAAATGGTTCAGATATATACAATTTAGGCACAATCTGGCCCCAAGTTATTTGCTGGTCAAAAACAGAAAGCAATATATCCCCTATGCTGCACACCCAGACTGTTCCACTGCTGAAGAATGAGGACTAAATCTTATGCAAAATATAACATATTGAATGTATGAAACAAGAAGTTGGAAAGGCAACAGAATGCAAGTTTAGTTGTGGGGACTGTGAGGGACCTCTAAGTCTGAAAGTAAAAACAGCACATGCAAAACTCCAAGTTCTACATCAGTATTTACAGTGCAAGTAGAACAAACTGATTATCATAAAAAGCAATGAAAGAAAAAAAATCTGTTTTTCCAAGTTTTCCACAATTTCTCTAGTGGCATAAAGGTCATCTGAATAGGAGAACTGAGTATCCAGGAAAATGTACTTGAAAATCCTCACCAAAGAAACTTTTAAGTACCCAACATAAATCAGATAAAATTCCCACTGATTTCAATGAGAATAGTAACTAAGAAAAGGCAGCAGACACATGAGTATGTCTAAACTAACCAGTTAAAATACGTTGAAAAAACATGGAGGTTAATGTCAGTTTTAAATTAATTACTGAGACCTTACAAGGCATTCTGGAACACTGCAGACTATCCAGCTCATTGCAACAACTGTTTTCTAAAGTCCAAGTTCTCTTTTTTAACACTTAAGATAAAGCTATATGTCCAGAACCTCCTGGCACTGATCTAATATAAAACTCTAAAAAGCCTCAAAAATAGCCCAAAACTGTAACTTCTAAAAAGTCAAATATTGTAACTTCTATATTTGAGATAGGGAGACTGAGGCACTAGTTAGGTCACTAGTGTTATATCACAAAATGAACCAGTTGCATCAAAACTGTTAGATCATACTGCTTCCTTTCTGGAATAATAACCATATTTGATTGTTTAAATCATTACTCTATAGCTAATAACTGCTTAACTGTAATTGTATAACTCTCTTACAGGTTACTCCTTAAAATGATTCCTTTTTGGGTATTTTTGTTTTGTTTTGTGTTTTTAAACTTGCTAATTCCTGAAGGACTTACAATCTAAATATCACAACTAAATTCATTTCTACTTCCATGATGTATTCATCTTGAAGATGTAATACAGCAATTTATCTCTGTGCTATTATAGATCATTAACAAAAATATATTTAAATTGAAAAACCCAAAATTATGTTTGATTAGAAGCTAAAAACCTACAAGAAACTGAGAGTAAAATAAAAAAATCTGAGAGCACTAATGCACAAGAATTGCTTGAATTGTGTAAATCAAAGTCTTGTAATTGATATAATATGTTAAACAACTCAGTCAAACTGAAAAGGTTGAAATGCAATTCATTAAAGGTTACCCATGTAGGATGAAGTTTTATTTTCTTAATAAGAATGTTTTCCTCCTCATTATTGTGAAGAGAATTTTGTGTAAGTTTCAGATCTGTTTAAATCCCAACTTTAGTTCATCTCTGTTTTTGTCTTTAAGTTTCTTTTTCTAGAAGAAAAAAAAGTGCTTTGCAAAGGAATGAAAATGCCACTTGGGCATTGATCCTACCAAAACCTACCTGCAGTGCTCAAAGTGGAGTCAAATGGGTGCTCTCTCATTAACTTCACTGACAACACGATTTGGCCCTAAAAGACTACATGGTAAAATTTACCATGCCAATTCTAAACTTACTTATTCTAGGACAGGGTATCAAACAAGTGGCCCATGAAGCCATATGATCTGGCCCATGGATCTTTAAACTGACCCCACAACTGCACGTGGCACACGAGCTGGACCCAACACCACAGGCTCTGCAAGCAGCATGGTGGGGGATCAGTCCAGGGTGTGCCTGGACATGGTGCCTACACCAAACTGGCTCTGTGCACTGCCTCCAGCCCTGCTCTGGGCCTCACTTTGCATGCAATGTGTGGGCTGAACCTGGTGCTGTCTGCACCAAAGGGAGTCGCTCTCAATCTGGCCCACAGACTGGCCCAGCAACCTTCATCCAGCCCCTGGGATCAGATGAGTTTAACACCCCTATTCTAAAATAAATGCAGAGTAATTCCACTGGCTTCAACACAGTTGCTCCAGAATTAATCTATGGAAGTGAGATCAGAATCTGATGCCTGGGACTATAACAGGATTCCACAAAGTGATTGTAATACAGTTTGGACCAAGTTGCACACAGAATTATTGTAATAAAATGCCACAACGTAGTAAATATGGCTGTGTGGATGGGGAGCTAAAATACAATGAAGCAGAATGAAGGCCTGAGTAAGAAAAACAGGCATTCCGGGTCTCTGACTTCAAAACAGAACTCTCTATACCCACCACCACTGCACTCATGTTTTACAGCTAGTACTTATATAGATGGCCTTACCAAATTAGATGCAATTCAAAAATATGTATGCTAAAATATTCATTATTCATGATAACATTTCAAATTCTAAATCCATAATGCCAGCATGTCTTGTTGGCATTAAGAGCAGAGGAAGGCAACCTCAGAATATTAGTATGTGTGCTAAGCAGATATAATATGAACAGTTAACATACCTCTGTCATTACCATATCCTGGCATTTTTTCACATATTTGCCATCTGCTTTTACAATTGTCTGCAGAAAACGCAGGTATTCCACGTGACGCCCATGTGTCTCTATACAGTGTACAAAGTGTTGCACTACTCTCTCGCTAATTTCATTGCACAGATGGTAATTGTTCATGAAGATATGCCGCATGGTTTCAGCTTCAAGAAGCTAAACAGATTTAAATCAAATAGCCTGATAAGAACAGTAAATAAAATTTATATGACGTTCTGAGAAAGAATACTGGAAGAGTCAAGAGCAATGGAAGTCAGCAGGTCAGGGTGAAGGCTCATTTGTGGAGCACAGTGGGACAAGCCAATTTGTACATGCTCTATGGCTAGGGACCTACCTAAATTGCCATTTTGCAGATTTCATGGAAACCTTGAAATCCAGTGTTGCCTATGAAATCTTGGTGGGGAAAAAACTTAATAAAAGTATTTATTAAGTTTTCCCCACCCAGTTGGGCCTTGCAGCATGCCTAGGAAAGGAAAGCATCAGCTGACAGAGCAGCACAAAGGGGGCAGCAGACAAAACGGTGGCAGGAGACAAGATAGCGGCTCCCCCTTCTCCCTCCCTCCCTCCTAACCCATGGGGCCTCTCCACCAATCAGCACTCAGGGGCTTGGCCAGACAAAGGGCAGCCAAAAGTCAAGATGGTGGCTGCCCCCTCCTCTCCCTCTCCCCCTGCAACCTCTCTAACAATCAGTGCTCTCCGCCAATCAGATTCAAGGAGTGGGCCTTTCATCAAATTGGCTCTTCGTGCTAGGACAAAGCCACAAAAACGGCGTTGTCTCACCACAAATTAAGTAGGTCCCTATCTATGGATAAACAGAAGCTTGAAGGCTTGATCCTCACTTACAGTTGCACTGCCTTACGCTACTTAAAAGTTCAAAGAGGCCTTGTAGCAGTCACATATTAAATTCTTCTTCTTCCACAGTCCCTCACAGTCAAGGGTAATTGTCTTCCAGGACTGTCTTATCTGTGTGTCTGAAGATGGCTGATGAGACCTATCCATCAGCCATCTTTGGATCAACACACTCTACTGAAGCTCAGATATGTGTTTCTGTGTGGGGAAGACAATTATGTCATGGAAGACAATCATCCTTGACTCCAATCCAGGACCATCTACCACACACCAAAACATATTAAATTAATGCCCACTTGAAGACCCATATGCTGGCACTCTAAAGGGAGTTTAGCATCAATGAGAATAAGGACCTTGGTCTCCCGGACTGTCAGCCCAGCACCCTTCAACAGCATGAAGTTCACACAAAAATTTTAAAAGGTCCTGGTGGTGGGAAATACTCAGGCCATTGTATTCAGTCAAGTGTCTACACTTCTAATGCTCTTATATTATTTCTAACATAAGTGCACTCTGCTCAGCAGGTCTCCCATCCAGCAAGCTGGAAAGACTATAATTTTGTATAACAACAATACATCATTCACCAATAAAAACAATGAAACAAATCAAAAAGTTAGGGGACTTCAGGAAAGAGACCAGAAGTACGTGGAAGTGATTTAGCAGGAAAATAAAAAGGAAGATCAAGTTTTAGGTAGAAAAGGAGAAAATATCACTAGTTTAAGGCTGCAGGCTTGAATTTGATCTCGGAGGGGTTGTATACGAGTGTAGTAGTTCCATTGATTTCACTAGAATTACAGCAGTGTCAGTAAGATCAGAATCCAGTCACATGTGATATAATGTCATGAAAACAAAACATTGGACCTTTTTCAGGCAGCTTACAGCAAACTATAGTTACATTGTTCCTTTCCAATTTAGAATTTGGTCTCTTTAAAACAATGAAAAAAAGAAACAAAAGAAAACGAAAGAAGACAGAGGGAAGGTAAAAGTAATGGAGAAGAAACAAAAGAAATCATTTCTCTATTGCTGTATTTGGCTTTACGAATGCCAGCAAGTAAAATTCAGGTTAATCTATTTTCAATTGTAAGTTATTGTCCAATGACATACTTACTCCAGGTGTTAGGAACAAATTGAGGTTTTTGTGGAGGAGAACTTGATTCTGAGAATTTCCTCGACAGAAATTCTGGAGAAAAATGTGAGCTAGGTTCATAATTTCGTTCATCTTCTCATCAGTCTACAGATGAAAAAAGTCAAATGCATCAGATGAGACAAACATACTTGCTAAAAAACATGGCAATTAATGAACTAATTGTCCTCCAGCTTCCTGAGCCTTAAAAGGTAGATACTTTCCCTTCAGCAAGAATGGCTGACCAGTTTCTTCCAGAGCCCACCAATGGCAGCACCTTTGCTGAATTCAGGGAGTCACTAAGAAATCACACAAGACATTGCATTTCCCACTACTCCCCATCTTGACCTTCTTTAGCCCAGGGTGCTCATGACCTGGACTAATAAGACCACCAGATTCAGCTCAAATATACTGTGACCCTTTTCTGTGTTTTGAGGTGAACTGCGGGTATAAACAGATGTTGTCTTTGAAGTGGGATCGGCTTGGCTGGGATGTGTCCCAGAACAGCCAACTCATTTCATCAGCATCTACAGACGTCACTGGGGCTGTTGCCCCACTGGACTGGGCCCCTACCATGCCTGGAGCTTCAGGGGCCCAATACTGCAGGACAAATGACCACGGGTGTCACACCCCAACTGGGGGTGTACGTCTGCGAGCAGGGGAACCCCCATAGGGGTTCTCCCACTTGAAGATGTATGCCCCAAATACATGCATGGTGGGAATCCCCTGCAAGAGGTTCCCCCCATCTGAGTTTGCAGACACATGCCCTAGGAATTATGCTGCAGGGGGATTCCCAGGGAGCACAGGATCAGCCTCCTGAAGCCCTGGCAGCCTCTCCCCATGGTGGAGAAATCACACACATTCCTGTGCAGCCCATATTCTCCCACCATAAGCAAACAGATGTCAGTTGCGCAAAGGTGGCATGAACTATGACTAGGACTTATCATGCTCACACAAGTTTGGGCATTTGCAGCGCAACAACGGGCTAAGACAACTGCTCTCTTCAGTTTTGTGCCACCATAAAAATTTTTATGCCACCACAAACGTGACATCTGTGTGCAGCCTAACTTTACTTTGGCTTGTTCAGTAGACTTTATAACAGTGGGTCGCAACCTTTTTTTTCTGAGACCCACTGCTGGGAGCAGAGGGCAGCGGCGGCAGCAGCAGATAGGGTAGAGGAGCTCCCAGCACGTGGCATGGCTCATCTTTTCTGTGAAGCACCACTGGCATTGCCCCTGGAACCCTCATTTGGGTCATGACCTGGGGTTGGGAACCGCTGCTTTATAATAACTATATTAAAGATGATAAAGCTAAGGACAAGATCTTCTAGTGAGTGCTCACTGTTAGTCTCTTAATTCCTTATTTCAGATCCTAAACAGTGGCCTGGTTTTCAAAAGTAGCTCCTATTCTATTCATTTCAATGACTGTTCAGCACGTCTGCAAATCAAGCCACTTTCGTAGTTAAATATGTATTTTCTTGCCTAGCTTTCAGCACCCATTTTCCAAACTTGTAGCATAATACATTAACAAGAATGTGGTGAGCCTGCTCTATGAACAGCTCACTATCGCCCTGAGGAGAACTGAACCAAGTGTCAAAATCACAACATTAGAGTGTCAGACACAGGAAAATATAAAAGAAGACCATAAACGGGTTCCATCTCTTTGCAGTGCCAGTGCCAGATCTACTAATTTGACCGAGCTGGATCTAGCTAAAGACAACAAATTCATTCATTTGGATGCTCAGGTGAGTAAATCTGGGCCATTTCAGTTCTAAAACAGCCACTAGAGACAATAACAGCTTTACCAAGATAGAGGCTTTATAAGGCTTGAGTCATAGATACAGAAATGCCCATTAGGTCTCTAAAGTACCAAGCAAGGCACTCCCCTGAGAGTGCTGGACATCCTGCTGGAGGATCCATTAGGTCAATGATTTCCAGCCTGCAGTGACTAAACTGCTTATTCTGAATATGGGAAAGTATCACAGCTTCTCTGAGCACCTGTGATGGTAAATGCTGTTTTTATTCTTTATTTAGACAGATTTAAAAATTGCTCAAGATTTATTATTCTTAAATAAGAAAATTGCATAATCACTTGGAGTCTGCTTTGTAGCTCATTTAAAACTATGAAAATCTGTCTGCGGGTCAGACCCTTTTATAACTGTTTATTTGGTACATTCCTCCCCTTCCCAGTAAAGTAATTATTAGTATAACCTGTTCATAGGGTATCTGGAGAAGGTCCAATACGACTGAGTGGGCTCCCATATTTTTCAACAACCGTTGCTGCTGAATTCGACATTTTTTATTCTGGACACAAAGTTTGCTGAGTCGAATCAAAATCTAAAAAAAAATAACCCCCCAAAATAAAATGTGATAGATTACATGTTCTAGCAACAAATATTAATGCCTTGCACCAACATGTGCAATTATTCACTTGTACATATACCAACCTCCTTAACAATGTTGTAATTATTACTCTTATTGCTGTCAATCTGTGGTTTTTTGGTTCCATCCTGTACTGGGCTTAAAATATTTGGTTCCTACAATTTAAAAACAAAAAGAAGGCTTCTTAAACAATTTATTAAACATCAACCAAGTACATTTAACAACAAATAAATGAGAAGAGCAACAACAGACACAATTAGAAAAGGACAGTCTAATGGTTCAAGAGCTGGCTAATGACACAGGTTCGATTCCTTCCTCTACCGCAAGCTTTCTGCATAATCTTAGACAAGTTGCTTGGTCTCGTTGTGCCTAAAATCTTTATGATGCATGGCACTGCCTTCCTCACAGAGATTCTATGAGACTCTAATCCTAAAGTAGTTTAATAATATAGGACTGGGGCCATAGGAATACCTGTAACTGAAAGATTTTTCCATCCACATACATACCTAATGCAGCTACAGTATAGACTAAAACGAACGGAATGCAAAAAAGCTGTGACAGAGCAATTCTGAAAATGACGATGGTGAAGGCAGCCTTTCTTGTAGAGAAAAATCAGTTTTCTTCAAAAGCTAAGGAACAAGAGGTATATGGAGATTGATCTGGTATCACCCTGCTACCAGCAGTAAAGTTCTTCAAGTAAAGATGATACTTTAACTCACATCTCTGGGTGACGTGGAAAGGGATTTAAAAGGAGAAAATGTGGCCCTTAGGTTTAAACAATGAACTGGAAATGTTCCTCACTCCACCAGGCATGTTTGGTCTTTCTAATCTAGAAGTATGAGAGCTTAAGAGTGGGCCCTGTTATGGAGACCATTAAATTTAGTGAAAAAAACTTTGGAGTTCTAATGCCATAACTCAGTCTTGTCACTGGGAATGAAAATTACTGTAGTCTCAACAAACAGAATGAAGCAGATGGGCTCCCGAGTTTTCTTCTATCCGCCAACATCCTAATGTTTTTGTGAAAAGTGAAATTAAAATACGTTCACCAGTGCACATGCACACATTTGAATTTTTATACTTTCTGAAACGTCTCCCTGTGCTTTCTCTAGCTAGTTGCTAAGATTAGGGGTTTCTATAAATTCCATCTAGTCTTAATTTCCACAGGGGCATGAGGCAGCTATACTGGTTCAGTCCTTTGTGGCTGTTTGTAACAATGTCAGCACTGTTATTCAGCATGTTTGCATTGATCTGTGACAACAATGGATTATTATTTGTTTAGGGTTTGTTAGTATGCATGCCGCCTCTTACTCACTGCTTGAAGCAATACTTTGGAAGATATTTTGGACTTTTTGCTATAATTAACCACTCTCCTCTGCCCTGGGACTGGTGGTTAACTAAAATTAATTTACCTGTTACATGTATCAGCATTCTTCCTCAGTCACGGAAGTTTTATAATCCTTGTGAACTATATGTTTTATCTGGAAGTGCTGATCAGCATGAAACTGCTGAATCTATCCTTTCGCTTAACAAAATAAAAAACTGTTTATTGAACCCATAAAGAGTGTTCCAGAGATGTAGTTATCAGGAGATAATCACACTACTGGGATAGCAGAGGCACAAGGTTGAGTATCTTGTCTTGTTATGTCCTGTGATAGACACTCTGCCATGCCTTCCCGTACAGGGAACAGAAGTCTCAAAGCTTGCACTGAGCTAGGCTCAATTCTGAATTATCGGTCTGTAGTCCTAGAGTAGAAATTTCTAAACGTGGCTGCTAGCTTTCTTCATAAAATTCATTGATAATTACAACTTTAGGATATCATGTGCATCCATTATAGATTCCTTTCCTCCAGCCTCCAAATTGGGGCCAGATTTTGCCCCTCTTACTCAATCTGCATGATACCTTACTCATAAAGCAGTCCCAAGAATGATAGAAATAGAGATGCACTGATGTATCAGTTGCATATTGGATTGGCAACAATAAAAGGAAAATTAACATTATCAGCAATCGGCTTTTTTTGGCCAGCGTGGACTATAACGTCACTGATAAATGTTGCGTGCACGTGCGCATCCGCAACATGCACATGGCCAGGAATGCAGCTGGGCAGCTTGGAGAGCAGTGTCCAGCCGGTATGTCTGTGGTGGGGGGAAGGGGTGGGGGAAGAGAAAGGGCATGGGAGGGAAGATGGAGGCCCTCACGATGAGGGAAGTAGTGGGGCAGGGGCAGGCCAGGGGCTGCCCAGCCAGGGAAGTGACAAGCTGACCAGGGCACAGCTGTGGTCAGCTTGTCAGGGAGCACAGGGGGATTTGGAGTGGAGGTTGCTCTCCACCACTGCACACACCCCTGGGGAAGCATGGGGGGGCATGTTGCCACACCCCCCCAGATATGTGTGCAGGGCGAGGGTGGGCTGCACCAGCCTCTTCCCAGCATGGGGACTGGGCCAGGGCTGGGCTCTGAGCGTGCAACAGTGGCACTGAGAGGAGTGATTATGGGGTGGGCTATAGTCACCCAAAATTCCCTGTGGCCACTCCTCCCATCGCCACCACCACCCACCACACCCCGCCCCCACGTACCCCGAGCATAGCCCAGGCCCATTCCCCCCGGCAAGAAGAGGCCAGAACAGCTCCTGGCCCCAAGCCCACAGCAGGCAGCCTGCCCTCACCATGCACACAAGTCTGGGGGGGGGCATATGCCCCCCATGCCTCCCTCGGAGGTGCACACAGCAGTGGAGAGCTTTGCCCCCCACCCCCCGTAGTCCCCAGGTGAGCCGAGCCACCCATTGCTCCATCCCGCTCCCAGGGCCGTATTCGCGGCCCTGGCTGGGCAGCACCTGCTCCTCCCCCTGCCCCTGCCCCATTCCCTCCCTCAGCATGGAGCCTTGATCTGTCCTCCCCCACACCCACATCCTTTCCATTCCACAGACTTAATGGCAGGACATTGCTCTCCAAGCTGCTGGGCTGTATTCCTGTAAATCAGCTATCGGATCAGTATCGGCTGATATGGCTGGTTAATAATTGGCCACCGTTATCAGGCAAGAAAATCTTTATCAGTACACCCCTAGTTAGTAGAGCTACTTATGAGACATTTAGCATAAATGAAAGAAGCACAAAAAACCCTACTTAAGGCAAGGCAGGACCTCAGAGACTTGTTGATAGAGGCATAAGCTTTCAGAGGCAACAGCCTACTTTGCCAGATGCTGTAGTTTCCAGAGACGTATTTATTGCAGCAGTAGGTTTGATTGGTGAGTATATTTACTGCATACCAAAGACTTGCTTAAGTCTTGATTAATATAATATAATATAACTTGATTAATATAATGGATCAGACCCTCAGCTGATGTAACACCGTATCTCCATGATGGAATCACATAGGTTCACACCAGCAGAAAAATCAGAGCAGTTGTACAGATTACATATTACTGCCGTGATCTAGTACACTCTCAGCTGTCAGAGATAATAATGTGCATCACCTGGGTCATTGTGGATCACCTGGATTAACATCCATAAAGATCCAGTGCTTCCTCATGGGAAAACAACAAAAACACTCCTTCCAGAGATGTTTCTGCTTAAAGTTTAAGTTCCATTTCCTGTCCTCTGGTATCTTTGCCAAAACAGCTATTTTTAAGAACAGGGGGATCTTATCACACTAGCAAAATTCTGATAGTTTTCCATCCTGCTTGTCCCTGTAACACTTTCCTTTCATTAAATATATAAAGAGCCATTTTCTTCCTGATGCTGAGGAGGAGATAGAAAAATCCACACACTAGAACCCAAGAAAACTAAATTCCTCCATGGTACTACTCCATTAACTCCATCTGAGTTACACCAGCGAAGAATTTGTTCCAGCTAGTTTCTTCAACTTTCTTCTCTCGGGGTTTACAGCTTTCCCCCTATAAGAATAAAAAAGGACTCGGCCTCTTCCCAACTCAAACAGGAAAAGATGATCTCCCTTGAGATTAGCTTCCTTAGTAGCTCCTGTATCTCTTCAGACCACTGGCAGCACAACTTCTGCTGGATCTACAGTCCTACTGCCCTGCTAGCACCTGCTGGGGAATTCTCTGTAGGGAAGGAGGAATATGGAGTGCAGTGTCATGTACATCCAAGCCCTGCTGTGGACCTTCACAGAGGGTGATAATGCTGTTACTGAGATTGCATTCCCTTCTTCTGTGTTTCCAGTGTTACTAACACACACAATTTTATTGCAAGGATCACAATATTTGGCATTTTTCTTACTCTCCAGTAGCTGCGCTTATCAAACTCATGAAAACCTCATCTTTCTTTAAAAAATTAAGCTTCTAGCCCTTATGGCTGCAGAGAAATGTTTGAAAATATAATCTAAGTGCACTCTGAAATTTAAGAAATGGACGGTAAATAAGAAGACCCCCGACCTTTATAGTTTTATATTTATGGCCTGATTTTAAGCCATTTCTGTGATTTTAGTGACAAGTTTCATAAGGTTTGGAAGTCTGCTATTGGTCACACTGTTTCACAGCCAGCACAAGAGGGGCTGTCTCTCCTCTGTTTTGATTCAGTCTTCCAATAAAGTCATCATAAGAGTAAATATGTGATCTCTGAATTACCTCCAGAGCAACACAATGATCTCAAAAACACAAACACCATGGCTCTCTTGCTAGACCAAATAAGAGACTATCTGTGAAATGATAAAACTCTTTATTAAAAACAGCAGGAAAGAAATCTGAAAACTCATAGAAAAGTTTTGTCTTTTTTTTCTCCTTAGTCTTAAGGTCCATCCAAGCTACTAGGCATCACTGGCTCACTAGTACCATCAGGTTGATAGTGTGAAACATACACAAATGATTAGTTAAAAAGAAAAAAAAAACCTGTAGTATAACACTGAAACATTGCCAGGCTAGGAATTTAAAGACAAACCTCTACTGGCTCTTCACCACCTTTTGCCTGACCCTCGCCCAGTTCTCCACTCTCATAGCTGCTGCTTTTTTCAACCCATAATTCAGATTTTTCTACAGTTAATCGCAATTGATCAAGATCAGCTTTGATTTGCTTGTAGTTATCCACATCCTGATTAGACACCAGCAACTGGACCTGGAAATATGGTATATTATGCAACAATAATACAGCAAGATGTACAGCAGCTATTGTAGTCAAATTTGTTTTACGGTTCCATTCTACACATCCATTTTCACTTGAACTTGAAACTTCAAGCAAATTATCACTTGAAACTCAACTCAAAACTTTGCCTTCTGAACTGAAATTTGTCATACTTGTCTTTTCAGTTCAAATTCAACAAAGCTGTTAAGACACACTAAATTTAATGTCACTGAAGATTTTGTTTGCCCAAGGAAAAATGGCTACAGTGTTTAGAACATTCTACTTTCTTCCTCATCACACTACAAAATCTTTTTCAGTATAAACACATATGTATAAATCCCCAAGCAGTGTGGCAGAGCTAACAATGATGCAAATATTATGGTCATCAGGATATTAAAATGAGAAATGGTTTATCCAGTCTAAACAATATTTTGCAAGAAGACAGAATTGATACACAAGAAATAAAGAGCTCTAAATGCAGTCAGTATTTCCAAAGATTGAAATGCCAATGAAAATTTTCAGTGCTTCCCAGGTTCCATATAATTTCCTCTCAGATCTTCGTCTGCATTTTTCCAAGATGACTCTAGTATTCTAATTTTCCACCCATAATATTTAATCTCTCTTCTCTTTCTCCTAACTCCTCACGATTTAGAAAGATCTGTAAAATCCCTTTCCTTACAATGCTATTGGGTTTCTCCCCTAGATTATTAATTATTAACCAAAACCTAAACAATGTTCCTATAGTAAATCAAAGATTATCCTTAAGAAATCAAACTGATGTCAAAGGAATGCCTACATTTTATAAATGTTGCCACCTGCCAGGCAAGAACATTAATAACATATAAAAAAATAATTGTTTGCAAAAAATATTCACTATTTTATAATACAGTCTTAAAGTTCACATCTGATTCTCTCTTAGCAGTGTAGAGCCTTGTTATTCTGAACAATTTATGAGTGCTGCTTATCTCCTAGTATTAGTATTCTACTTTCTCCACAGCTTTTTTTGTTTATTTGACAATTAGACTTTTCTTACCTTTACAGAAACATGTTAGCTACTCAACCCTCGCTTAACTGGGAATAGCAGCTATTTATGCACCTAATCAGCATGGCCCCACTTTAATATCCTGGTGGGAGGCCATTATGCAACTCTGCAACAATATTAAACAAAGACTTTCCAGCTACTTATCATTTGTCTGGTTTCAGACACAAAAAACCTCGACTTCTTACATAAGGATGAGAAAATATAAATGTTTCAAATAAGCATCAAATGATCTAAAAAAATGTAAGTTATAGGTCCCTACAACTGGAATATGTCATTATTGCACCCCATTACATCAGGATCTATACCAGGGGTGCGCGAAACAGGCCATATTCAATTCAGATTCGGCCTGAATCAGGGACAGCGATTTGATTTGTTGATTTGGATCACTGTCCCGATTCAATATGGCCAAATCCGAGTCTGAAGATTCGATGTCGATTTGAAGAATCAGCAATTCAGCCACAGACACAGCTTTAAATGTTTTTTCTACATACCTCGAGGTACAAGGCGCAGCTTGTGAACACAGTGATTGTGGGGCGGATGGAGCATCCCACAGGAGCGTGGGGGGGCCCCCTGCATGCTCATACTTTCAGTCCACTTCTGGGTCTACCTCCAAGCACACAGGAGGGCCCCCTCATGCCCCCCTGGCTCAGTGATCGGCTACAGGGGGACCCCAGGTGCCCCCCCCAGACCCAGGAGGCACCAGTCGCCAAGCTGGGGGGATGCAGGAGGCCGCCCCTGCATGCTCCCCAGCAGACCTGGAAGTGGACCAGAAGGGCTTCTGGTCCACTTCCGGGTCTGCTGCCGAGCACGTTGGGGACCCCCCCACGCTCCTGTGGGATGCTCTATCCACCCCACCATCTCAGTGTTGACAAGCTGCCTGGTACCTTGAGGTATGTAGAAAAAACAGTCAAAGCTGTGTCTATATTTGAATCGTCAAATCTCTCTGAACTGATTTGGAGGGTTCCGATTCAATTCGGAGAGATAAAAGGGTCTCCTGATTCGATTCGGATTTGGAGATTCGACCACCGAATCGGCCCAAATCTCCATCAAATTGAATCAGCAACCGAAGCTTTGCATAGTCCTAATCTATACCTTATTTTTAACACATGAAACATTTAAATATAGCGTTAACTAAGAGATGGAAAAAAGTAGCCAAGCACAAGCATGGTTTTGTCCTTACTTCCTGTTCACTGTGACCCTGGACAAGTCACTTAGACCTCAATTTTGAATACTGGCTACAATCCCAGATGACTTGATTTTGGGGTGCTTAAATAGAGGCACCTTATTACCAGCTCACTGAGGACTTGCTGCTTCCACAGAGAGAAGGGGTTGAATATAGTCTTTGAATTGTCAGAAGGAAACATTCTCATACTATAACTGGCAACTTAAGTGATAGCAAATGCCTTTGGAAAGAGTTTCTTTCTTTCCTACAGTAATGCTATTCCATCAATACATGTAAAGCTATTGCAGCTCCACCTGTTTAAATGCTTGCAGAACTTCTGCTCTTTGACTGAAGTGTTTAAATAGCAGGTGAAGGGCCCCGGATAGCAAAGGAGGATAGTCGTGCATAATAAGGTGAATGAGAACCCGTAAAAATGTTCTGCTGCCCTCATCATCCAGCTCTACAGGATTTTTTTCTTTTCTGAAAGAAAAAAAAAACAAACCCACAATGAATTTTGACAAAAGTAAACAAAAGCCACTCTCTTTGTTTGCCATAGCTTTTATAACTAGAAAGGACAAACAGTGAGAAAGAAATTAAAAACCACCCATCTCAGCACTATTGTCTTTACAGGAATCTTGTAACTGGATGGATACTATATGCTAGAAATAAACATGTACAAAATTTGTCAGCCATTGTGAATAAACTCCATATTGTAAACACATTAATTTATATCTTGGCTACATGGCAGCAAATTCATCCTTGGCACAAAGCTGTTGATGGCAAGGGAGCTACACCAGACATAAATGTACCCCCCTGTCGTTTTTTTGTGACTCCTTTCCTTTTCACTCCTATTAAAAATTTGTTTAAGAAAAATAAGCTCAAAATAGTACAAAATTGCCAAAGGTAACATAATTCTGGAATCATATTTATAATCTAGAATGACAGCAAGCAGATTTACACTTAGCATATCAAAGCAGAAGTAATGTTTCCGAGAAGCCAGTCACTCTCGGTGATCATTTGAAAGAAGCAAGCGCCAAGGGCTGGGTGTTGTTTTACATTATAGGAGATCGGGGACAGGACTGGAGGCATTCCTCTTGCTGGTAAAGATTGAGAACACATAAGGGATTGACTGAGGAAAGATCACAATGCCTAGTTCGTGTATCTTTCACCTTTTACTTAGCTCTGGGAAAAACTTTCAAATCTATGGGCTTGTCTAAATGGGGTACTTTTGGGGTTTTTTTTAGCAGTGTAATTATAATTATATGTATATAGTTAAACCAACATAGGTATGCTGTTATAACTCTTCTATGTATACATTTTTATTCATCCTGCTTTTTCTAGTACACCTTAAATCATTTCCAAGGTGCCATAGCCTAAACCAGAAAAGGGCTATTTAATACAGAAATAAGAGTGTCCACATCCGGTGTTATAGTGGTACAAATATTGTGCTTTAAATTAACACCTTATCTTTTTACACTACATCTTTCCCCTATAGACAGGCCTTAAAAGAGTTAGGGAATAAGTCAAAAACCTGGATCCAAGCTCTTCCTCTGATCATCAAGGATAGATTAAAAGAATCCAATCCAAGTCCCCCTGTTGCCCAAACCAGATCCAAACACAAACTGAGAAATTTTTGAAAGCCAGACTTGAACTTTATCGTACTGGCACACCAAACCTTTGAGCTTCAACAGAAACAAGTACATCCACAACCTCCTCTTACTGAGATCATCTTATGTGACAAAAGGAAATGCCAAAAGAGAGGCAGAGATATGAAGTAACATAACGAATACAAATAAATAATCAATTAGAAGTTAAAATATTAGAAGAAAGAGCACATTATAGAATTATAGAAATTTATATTAAATTTTATATATTTATATTAAAATTATAGAAAGAGCACATACAGACAAAAGTATAACCTTCAGAGAGTATACCTGCCAGCAAACATGGTTTCAGCCTGAGCTGCAATTTCATCTATGTCAGGAACAATCGCTGCAAAGAACCACAGGGACCATAATTTAGTTTGTGCAGATAAAGAAACTGTTTTCCCTCTTTCAGTACATGCTGCAAACTAATGGCCTAACCATGCACTTCTCAGTCAGAAGAAACTTCCTCTGAATCAGTTATTGGTTCTTCTTCCAGAATTAGGAGGGCCCTAATTATCTGTTATTTGTATTTCAGCATTACCAGCCCCAGCCATGGACCAGGTGCTTGTTGCTGTATAAACACAGAACAAAAATTATTACTCCCTTAAAATGTTAATCTTCCACAACTACTTTGGCAGAAATAACCACCCAAATTAAAAAAAATAATGCCAAAATGTGGAAGCATTATTCTTGCAGAAAAATATTTATCCAGGTAATTATTTTGCTTGCAGTTTGTTTATCATTCCTGACTCATGAGGATTCTTTTTGCATCCACACACCATTAACTCCTCATACAGATCACTAGCTGCCATCTCCCTGAGCTTTAAACACCAATTCATTACTGTACCACCCTTACCTCATCTGCTTCCCAAGGACTTGGGTTCTGTTTCTAGGCATGCGAGACAAGAAAAAGGAAAAAAAAGCCCAGTGTGAAAATGTGGCCATCTCCACCCCATCCTCCAGAGTCTGCTCTCATCCTCATTTGTTATGCCACCTCTGATAGCTTTGAGAATGGTATAAATAAATAAACTCTCATCATCATAGGAACAAATAATTATATTTAACTAAAGGAGAGAAGGGTAGTAAACATCTGATTTCTGTGGATGCCCCTTACATTATCCAATCTCCCACAAGCTTTCATCTTGTAGTGATTTTATTTTTTCTGGAACTGTTCAGTTTATTGCTTATTAAAAAGACAGTTATTTTAAATTGCAAAACAATAGCAACAGTTACCTGAGACGATCCCTGGTGAGTCTGGGGGAGAGACTGAGGCGCTATCAACATTTTCACCATTTTCTCCAAACTCTCTCTTGTAGATAGACAGCATGTAGGATATTCTATAGTCCAGTCTAACACTAAGGATAAACTACAAGACAAGAATTTAAAATAAGATGCTCTTCCCTTTTATTTGACAGCCTATTTGCATATGTGCAGTGAGAGGAAGTCATTTGTTTCAAGTGGTGTAAAGCATGCTTGTCCATTTGATAAACAATATTGGTAAACTGGTGATTTCTTTCTCAGGACTGGTTCCACATCTTATCCTGAGACATTTCAGCTTCCACTAAATACCACAACAGTTCAGATTTGTCCAGGAACTCTGGGAATTTACCCTAAACCTGTTATCCATGAACCAGGTGGGTCCTTCTAAAGCTTCATCAGAACATTAGGCTAAAATTTTCCTTGAATTAG